ACTTAATACTACCAGGTCGGGGCCAGCATTACCAACCTCATTTTACAAATGAGATAACTGGGCTCAGGAAGCCAGGGTCAAAGCTCCTGGCCACCCAGGCTAAGCAGCACTGATGATTCAACAAAAAGGCTGTACACCTTCCAATGCATCAAGCCGCCCTGATCTTAATTAATGCTCAACTACCTACACAACAAGGGCACCCTAACACACAGCTAACAGACTGACTGCAAACAGTACGTATGTGAGAAAATAAAGGCAAGAGTACTGGCTGGCTTTGTCACAAAAACTAATTGAAATTAAAAAGATCTGCATTTAAGAGATCTTGATTTCCTCTCCCTTCCCCTGCCACTCTCCAAGCCCAAGGCCCTGTGTCCCTGCCATGTTCCACGCTGGCTTCCTCCCTAGCCTCAGAAGCCCGCCCGTTTCTATCTCCAGCACATTCTGGACTGTGGTGCCAAGACTTCCCCCATAATCACTATCCCTTACATTAGTGGGCAGCTAAAATTCCTCCACTCAAAAGAAACCATTCTCTAACAAAACGTCTTCTATCTTCTATGTCAACTTTGTAATACCACGACATCGTATCACCTATGTAATTTTATATTGTTATTGCACTTAACATGAAAATATATGTTTTTTGTGTTTTTAAAGGCTCATGTACACTTTAATAATTACAAAGGACAAACCACTGATCGCTTAATCATTCTGGTTCTGTTCATCTCATACTGGTTATCTGGGGTTGCTTGCAATTTATTACTATAACAAATAATCCTGAAAATGCCTTTACACAAGCATCTTTGAATATATTTCAGGCTAATTCTCTGGAATGGATTTCAAGAAATTTAGAAATTAAAGAGAAAGCCCTAACTTAAAGAGCTTGATCACTTTCAGAATTCTATATATAACTGCCATATTACTTTTGAGAAACTCTATATGGGTTTACATTTCCACCATTAGAACTAAAGATTCTCTCTTTAAATCTCTTCTCACTGATTACAGAAAATACGGCTATTACAATTTTTATGGTAAGTTTAACTTTTTTTTCCCAAAGGCTTAGTGTTTACCGTTTTTTCAATTGTTCACATCCTTTCCCATTTATCTATTAATCTTAATGTATTTGTCTTAATGAGCTCTTCAGACATTAAGGATAACCTTGTATTATACCTGATGCAAATAAGATTCCAATTAACTTGTGATCTGGCTTATACTGTTTGAGGCAAGGAATTTATTAAACTCTCATTAGGTAGCCTATTGTTATTTCATCCACTGCCTTTAACTTTTAAAAGGTCATGCTCCTCCCCAGCCCCCTCTTTGAATGCATTCCCCAGCCCCATAGAGATCACTGGCAAAGAGTGAAACCTAATGTTCAGAGGTGTTTTTTGTTTTTTTAGAGACACAGTCTTGTTCTGTAGTTCAGGCCAGAAGTGCAGTGGTGCAATCATAGCTCACTGCAGCCTCAAACTCCAGGGCTCAAGCAATCCTCCCACCTCAGCCTCCCGAGTAGCTGAGACTACAGGCATTTGCCACCAAGCCCAGGTAATTTTGTTTTTTTGTAGAGACATGGTCTTGTTATGCTGCCCAGGCTGGTGTGAAACTCCTAGTCTCAAGCAATCCTCCCGACTAGGCCTCCCAAAGTGTTGGGATTACAGGTGTGAGCCATAATACCTGGACTGTTAAAGGCGTTTAAGCACAATCTTTGGTCAATCTTTGGCTGAATACTAAATTATGCTATCCAAAAGTGAATCCTAGAAAGACAGAATTAAAAATAAAAACAAGAATAAAAAAAATAAAAAGAGACAACAGTGACTATGGGGAGACAAACTACAGAAGTGCTCTAGGTGAGTCACAGAGCAAGAAACAGCAACAGTATATCCCAGGGGAGGTGGATTTCAAACATCCAGAGCTGCTAAAATAGGTGTAAGATGTCCAGTTTTCAATTTAAAAAATTACAGGACATGCAAGAAAGTGTGACACCACACACACACACACACACGCACGAAAAAAAGAAGCAGTCAATAGAAACTGTGTCTGGGGGGCACAGATAGTGGACTTAGGAGATAAAGGTTTCAAAGCAGCTATTATATGTCCAAAAAACTAAAGGAAATTATGCTTAAAAATATTAAAGGACAGTATGAAGACAATGGCTTAAATATTGTCTGTATCTGACTAACTGCACAACAGGAGTCCCAGAAGGAGAGGAGAGAGAAATAGTTACTGAATGGTCCATAATAACAGACAGATTACTAAGCGTTCTACTTCCCAGTGTCTATTTGGTGTTCATCTTAACCATTATACAGTAGCAGGAAGACACATACCCATCCCATTCATACCTGCCTCATTATCTCTTAATTTCAAAATGTTGGTACTTTCACATGGAATACTCTTCCCTCAACTCCATTATACTGATCCCAAGTTAAAAGAAGTCGTTCATGTAACTTTCCTTAACACCACTGGTCCACACTGGTCTTACCCTTTAGTAAGTTTTCAACTCTCGGTGGCGTTAAAAACACCTTATAGTTTTCTGTGAAAACGAAACTACAAAAGGGGGTGTGGAAATGCCTGACACATTATCTATCATGTTTTGTTCTGTGTTGTATTCTGTTCTCTATTTTTATGTACGATTTATAAATATAAAATTAAGGAAAGCTGAAATTGATTCCTGGCTTAGTCAGTAACCAGCGTATGACCTTGGACAAGGAATTTAGCTTCTGTTTTCTCTATTGTAAAATGAGAGTACTACATCAAAAGATGGTTTTCTATGAATTCTATGAGTTTATTTCTATAACAACTGTAATTTTACCATGTTCTATTTACAAATGCAGCTTTATATAGACAACAATTTAGGTGTAATTTTGAGGTCAAGGTGTTCTCCATCATTCTATATGAAAGAGTTGGCTGATTCGAAGAAAAGAGCACTTACAATACCCAGGCTATCCTCTCTGTAAAAGGACAGTTAGTGAAGGAAAATGAAAAAGGTATCGACTATGCTTCAATCTGAGAAGTATTACAGAACATATAATGCAAAGTAAAACCCACCAGGGTTTCTAAAAAAGCATGGTTGTCTGGTTTGATAAAATGCCTAATGAAAGGAAGATTAATGAAGAAAGTAAAGAACGCCCGTGGCACCAATTTAAACGCTGTTAACCAATTTTTCTAACACAATTATCTGGACCTGACCATAACAGAAAGTAACACACCCTTTGGAACCTCACTGTGGATTGTGGCTGTGTTATTCACCACATGAAGCCTTCCCCAGGAAAGCAATGTCTTATACAAGAATGCAAGAGGAAAGGGCAGATCTAGGAGTTAAAACTCAAGTTTTCCTACAACCCATAAAACCCACCTACTGTCTTTGTAGCTATGTACACAAAATTACACATAAACTACATTACACACTAAAAAGGAAATAAGTTAGTGGAGCCAAATCCCAGGAGCAAATGCCCAACAGGCCAAGGGACGAAGGCGATGCAGAGCACTAGGAGAGACGACAGGAAGTAGGTGTCCCGGGAACATGGGCCACATGACGCGCTAAAAGGAGTCTGATCTTCTCAAAGTCCACAAAGTTGAAATAGAAGGCAGAGTTCAAGTAGCCAAATGAAGATGAATGAAAAAAAAGGGAAGAAAGAGGGGAAGCAAAGAAAAGGGTTTCCAAGGCAGAAAAGGATCTGGAGTTGACCAAATATGAGGAAAAAGAAGTCAAAGACTGGCACTAAGGTAAGAGAAGTGGCATGATGCATGAAGAGACCTGTTCACAAGAAGGTGCACAGATGTCAAATTATGAAAAAAAAAAGCAGTAAAAATGGAGGCAACAGAAGACCATCGTGTTCCCGTACCCAAGTGCGAGCTCAACGAGGGGAGAGGCACCTGCCCGCCATTCTATTCACCGTGCACCCTGGTGCCTTTAACAGAGCTACACAGAGCAGGCACCAAATAAACAGTTATTCATGAGTGGGTCCCCAGGCCGGTCTGTCCTGTAGTAAGATGCTGGGCCACCACGTGGACCTGTTCAGACTCCATTTCATCACAACCTTTCACCGTTTCCCAACACAGGTGCTGAAAAGCAAATGCTCACGATAAAATGACTGCTGCACAGAAACACCAATCAACTGCTATTTCACACCAACAATTCAAAACTCTCATGGGTTCATATTTATGTCTCCTCACCAAGAAAATAAAAAAGACTGGGAGTAGGGAAAGAAATAAAACAAATGCACATTTTCCCCAGAATTCAAAACATACATATGTTTAGAGGGTTTACTTTGTTGTTACCATACTGAGTTCAAAATTTTAATAAATTCTTTAAATTATTTTCCATTTCTATAGAGCATGCAACTGCTACATAAGCTCAGGTACAAAGAAGGTTTAGATGATACAGATTTAGTACCATGAGACTATATATTTGATTTAATAGCATTAGACCATACAGATTTAATAGCATTAGACTACACAGATTTAGTATCACATAATGAACATATTAAGCAGCAAATTTTAGGATCCAGAAACACCTGTCTTTAACATGTATAGCGTTCAGACATGCTCCCCTAATTCTACGCCATGTGATATGTACGCATCAATCCTGGGAAACACTATATTAAGAGAAAAAATAAATTAGAAGCCCTATGTCTAAAGTACTTACAGTCTGCTCTGAATACAAACAGAATGGCACTCAATGCATATAGAATTTTCAAATCACATTATACATCTTTTAAAATATCATTTTTGAAGACTGGCTATGGCATGGGGAAACAGCCACATTACTATGTTATGGGACAAGGGACACTTCCATATACACGATATTAAAACAAAAACATACAATTACAAAAATACAGAGATTAGAAGGAAACAGACCAAAACCTTAATGGTGGTTACATTTGTGTGGCAGATAAATGAACTTTATTTCCTTCTTCCTATTCTAGGTACTTCACCTACACTCTACATTGCTGAGTTTTAGAGACAGCCAAAAAACCAGTTAGTTATAAAAACGTTCTGCAGTTACTCACCACATTGTAATAGCTTTTGTTTATGGCGGTCGTATCAAATCCTTTGGGAGGGCTCTTCAGCGTTCCTGATTTGGGAGACACAGGCTTCTCTGAAATAAAAACATAGCATAGTTTTACTGATCAGTACTAAAGATGACAAAAGTTCCCGCCCCTCACAGAGGCCAAGGATACTCATCCAGCAGCCTCACCAAATTAACCAGCCAAACGGCAAGCCGAGGAAAAGGCCGTCCACAGTGACTCTCAGTGCCCCAGAAACCCAGTCCCTCAGGCTCGGCTCACCAAGGCCAATCACCGCACCCCATCCCCACCCTGTTCTCCCAGTTTCAAGCCGAAGGCATCTAAGAGACTGCTCTACGAGCGGCAGCCAAAACCAAAGCAGTTTAGCTGCAAGGACAATTCCATAGTGTGATAAATATAAAGCATCACCCAGACACCCAAATAAAAGGCATTTTGGCAGACACGTAACAATATTAAAACTTCAGGGCTAAAACTTAGGGATTCCGATCCCTCAGAATGGAAAAGTCTCTCTAAAGAAGCAGGATCTGGCTCAGAGCCTGAAATAACCATCGCTCACAGAAGACAAGGAGGAGAAAGAAAAGTCATCTCAAGCAGGGGCAAAAACAAGAAAAACCCACACCATCTTCACTTCCACACCAGGCGAAACCATTAAAGCAGTCCTGATTCCAGCAAGGATTCTGATGTTTTAAAACAGCATCGCTTTCGCCCCACATCCACTCAACACATATTTACTCTGCATAACACCTGCCAAACAAAACCTGGCACCGTGCCTGCCCGTCGTCAGCTCTACGGGGTGGGTCTGTCTACCGACAGTTCTTCAGGAAGGGTCTCTATCACCGGTTCTATGGACAGTGTGGGTGTGTCTATGCCCGTCGTCAGCTCTCCGGGGTGGGTCTGTCTGCCGACGTTTCTACAGGAAGGGTCTCTATCACCAGTTCTATGGACAGTGTGGGTGTGTCTACTGCTGGTATGTGGGTGGGTCTGTCCACAGTTCTATGGGGCTGTGTGTGTCTATTATCAGTTCTACGGACAGTGCGTCTTTACCATGAGTTCTACAGACAGTGCATGGTGTCCATCATTGGTTCTATGGGGTGGGTTCCTCTGTCTCTCAATGGTTTTATGGGCATGTGTGTGTTTCTATTAATGATGAGATGGACAGTGTGTGTCTATCACAATTCTATGGGGTGGGTCTATCACTGGTTCTGTGTGTGTGTGTGTGTGTGTGTGTGTGTCTGGTTACCACAGTTCACTGGTTGTGTGTGTGTGTGTGTGTGTGTGTGTGTGTGTGTCTGGTTACCACAGTTCCATGGGGCAGATCTACCAACAGTTCTATGGGGTGGGCAGATAGGTCTAACACTGATTCTACATTCTGTACATCTAACATTCGTTCTATGGATTCTGTTTACCACTGGTTTTCCAGGGCTGCAGGGGCGGTGTATCAAATTGGGGCTAGTGGGGACAAAGGAAAGGGAGAGGTTTTTTCCCACATTCTTCCCCCAAGGAAGTCTGATGAGCATTTTCTAGGGGACTTAGTTCCTACCAGTTCTCCCTCAAAGCTCATCTCCACTGCAAGAATCCTGCCGTGTGAACCCCCTCACTGGGTGGGAACACACCCCTCTCCTCTGGTGTGAGCAGCACCTGTCTATAGTCCGTCCCTTCTGCTCTCCTCTCCTCCCATGTGTCCCGGGGTCTGAGGTAGTATATCCCAAAACAGTGCCTTCAACCCCAAACACTAAGGCTGCAGGTCCCTAACGTCAACTGCCTCCTCAGGAGCTGCACCATCTTCTAGCAAGAGAAACCCAGAATGCCCCAAACCAACCTCATGCTCCTTAACCTTGGCTCCTCCCTCCTCCTGAGGAGCCGTTTACCTCAATCTTCCTTCGATGCCTCACGGAAGTTCCTAAATCCTCCCTCAATGCCTCACTGTTAAGTGTTTCCAGGTGGTCGAAAACAACAAGACAAGGTGCTGCTCCAAGTTGCAAGAATTCTCTCTGCCCATAGGATAGAAAACAAAACTTCAGGGAAACAAATCCCTTCTACACTGTAAGAGCTACTAGGAGGAAAACCAATCTATTCTTGCTGGCACACTTTCCTACTCAATCTCTTTTCTACAGCTAAGAATTTAATTGTAGAAGAAAACACTACGAAATGTTTTCATTTGAGAAAAAACAACACTTTTTCATCTTTGAAATCTGCAATTTGGAGGCAGGACAGAAAATACCATCACAGGGGAGACCGTCCACACCTAAATCACAGCCCCTGCGATCATAAGCCACATGTCAGCATGCATGCCGGTGAAGTGAGCTTCCTAACGGTGACCCTGAATCTGCTTTAAATCATATTAAAAGTAATGATTTTGCCAGCTCTGTTATTTTAAACTTTAGACATACCTCACAACTCAACACCACAGTTAATAAAATTCAATTAATTTACTGTAAGAACTATAGGAAAAAAAGTTTTCCAAAGAAAAAGTTTCAGGTTACTAACATTACATAAAAATAAAAAAACAGGCAGAAGAAACCCAGACAATTCAGATTAAGTCCAGGCAGGTTGCCTTTTCTCCCTTAGAAAAAAAGAGCTCCCAATTCTGCTGGCTGCTGAATGGGAGGTCTCAAGATCAAGTTCCCCAAAACACCCTGTGGTTAGTTTTCAACAAGAGGTACGGTACCGCTAAGGTGTGCCACCCACAACGTGCCCCTGCTTCCAATTAGGAAGCATAATTTCCACAAACGCCCAAGGTGGGTCTGTCAGGAGACCCTGCAGGGGAGACAGGAAGCCCCTGGCTGCCAGACCCTAGCCAGGCCACTCCTGACTTCCAATGCAAGGTTCTTTGCTCGCCCCACCACTGTCCAGGTTCCTGGGATGGTCACGCCAGAGGAAACGTGCCATCAACAGGAGGGGCACGGGGCAGCAGGGGCACAGGTAACTCCCGGGCAGCCTAGGAAGCCTGCTAGTAGCTTCTACCAAAAACAGCATTGAAATTAATCTAAGAGAGGCTAAATTACGGCCATTCATAACAGATAGAAAAGCACACAGCCAGGAAATAGATTAGAAAATACTCAACCGCCCTACTCTCCTAAGAAAAGCAGCATTTTTGGCCCATCTGGTAGCTAAAAATTAATAAAATTCACTGGTTTTGAGGTGTGGGAAACCAAGAGAATGCAGCTTAGTGCTACCTTTCCAGGGGCTGACTAGGGCAGCAAGTCTTCCCTTTCTTACAATATACTCGAAAAATGCTGAAAACAAGAAAATTTAAATATAGACGTGTAAAAGAGAAGGAGGGGACGACGTGCCAAAAGCAAAGAGGAAACCTCTCACTAGGGGAGGGGAGACAGACCTGCCTCCAGGCCCCAGCAGCTGGGGCTACACCCAATGCAGGAAGAAAACAGACCTGCTCCAACCCAGGCAAATACAACTGAATCCCACAGTAACCCGCAGAGCCGCTGCAAAGATGTCTGGAAGCGTCTGTGCACTGGTCTAGAGAAACAGCAAGGAAGTGCGCACGCTGCTCAGAGATGGGAGCACAGCCTAGAGGAAACCAAAACCTGAGCCCGCACCTGCTGAGCAGGACCACTCCAACCTACGCTCTCCTCCTGCAGGGCTACCAGGACCCGCCTGGCACAAACAAGTCTCTGGGAACCCCTAAGAAGCAAATGTTATTCCTCTCTGTAGACGTATTTCTACCACCCAGTGTACACAGGAACCCACCATCAGGAATGAAGCCACCATTAAACAGTATCAGCCACAGAAGGTACTGAGCTGCCAGGAGGGTGTGAGCAGACGTGGCATATAAAGGGACCAGGTTCCCCAGAGTAGAAATAACAGGAAAATCAAGACCTAATGTCATCTGTTGTTTAAAATGACAGGAGAGAGATGCAAATGGGACCAAACCCAAGGAATAAAAAAGGCACTATGAGGATTTAAAACATCTGAAGTGGCAGCAAAATCTCTAGAAATAAATACGGTCACTAAAATGGGAATCTCCACAAACAGGTTAGTATCACTGTGAGCAGGGAATTAATGAACTGACAAGCACAGGAATGGACTACAACACAGCACAGTGAAACAAACAAATACGCAAAGGAGATTAAAACTGGGGGCAAAATGAGACAACTAGTAAGATAATCAGGAGAAAAATCAGGGAGTGAGCAGGAAGTAGTCCTTGAGAAGATCCTTTCCAGAACTGAAGAGCTCTGGATTCCTTGGGCTGAGGAAGTACAGCCAGCCCCGAGCAAAACCAGAGTCCACCAAGACACACGGGAACGCTGCACAACTGGGCGAGGGCCAGGTCCGGAGAGCCAGGTGCGGTGCCCTCCCCCACCCTGAGGCAGCTCCACCATCACGGGGCTGGGAATTCTGCCTCTTTTAAGAACACACTTCTGTGAGTCCTCACTTGCCTCTCCCACTTAACTGAAAGTCACCCAGCCGCTTCCCTCTGTTTCGGTGGTTACGCTTTCATTTGTGATGTGTTGCTGACCCAGCAAAGTCCAGAGATAATCATCACCGTTGGCTTCAACCACCAGAGCAGACATGGCCCCGAAAACTCAGAATTCCCACGTCCTCTTCCGACCTTCGGCGCTGGGGCGCTGTGCGTAGTCTGTTGGCTGTTACTCACGCACTCAGAGTTCACGGAGTCACTGCCTGTGTGCGTCTGCCTGTGCTCAGCAGTGTCTGCCTGCCGGTTTCCTGAACCACATGCGCCCTCCTGTCAGGTGACGTCCTCCTAGTTGTTCAAGGGATAATCTGCTAATACTCTCGATCTTTGTCTGAAAATGTTATAATTGTGCCATTACTTTTTCCCAAACTTTAAGACAGAAACTTAAAAATATACATAAACATACAGAGAATAACCATGTACACTCTTAACGTTAGCAGTCCTCAGCACTGAGCCTGCCTCATCCGCTCCCGCCTCGTTCTCTGCTAGAAGCACCATCAGCAAGTCTCAGAAATGAGGTCATCTCCACCTACCAAAACTTCAGTGTTAGTAAAGGGAGGTTTTCTTCTTTAAACTCAAAACCCTAACCTCAGACCATTATCACACCTGACGACATTAATAATTTTTTAATACTAT